CACGTGTAGACAAATTAAAAAGATTAGAATAATTCGAGGTCAGATATAAGAGAAGATTAAGATATTTAATACTGTAGACTGCCAGAATTACACTTGTATTTGTCGGGGACATTAATTAGAACTTATAAATGCATTTTGTTTTGGTTTTAAACACTGTCTATGGAATGTTGTCTGAATCTGCTAATTCTAAATCAAAAGTAGTGTAGTCAGATGGTCTGTTGTTATGACTTAATAATATTTGAATCTATATAAGTGTATTTGGAAAAGGAGATAAAACTCTGTAAGGGATATGAATGCTGTGTGAAATTGTAAAATATGAATTTCAGTCATAACCTGATTGAGTGATTGTAAAGTTTCTACAAAAACAAATGACACTTAACTTTTATAGTCTTCATACATTTCCACATTAAAAGTCAGATTTAAAACATGACTTCTTCTTTTGAACCTGATTGACTAGCTTCGTTAAAAGTTTTTATATTCTTGTCAGATCAAGTGCTGACAGAATTATTGAACATTATATGGAAATTAAGGAAGCACCTTTAATACTGTCTGTAACAGTTTCTTAATGTTACCCTTGATGACTTCACACCTGGCAAAGCAGTCACCACCACATGTCCAGTCCCTTTGATGGGTGGCTATTATGTGTTAACTACAGGTAATACTTTGACACCAGTACCATTGGCCTGTCATTTTTTCCTGGCTGACCTTGGTTCACACCTGATTAGAGTGGTCATCTTCACACCTGATGTGGGTATAATTAATTACACATCTGGTCACTTCCTTACCTGGTAACCTTTGATCTTTCCCCTCTGAAGGATGTTTATGTCATTCCAGAACTTGTCCAGGTGTGCTAATGTGCAAGTATCCAGGTTGGACAGCAGTAATTGTAGCCATTGACACATTCTGGTATAGAGTGGTCATTGGTCATTGACAGTCTTAAATTTCCATCAAATAATACTTAATATTCTATGTCAATTCAATGAATCACTGACCCTGAACTATAATTACCCCAATAGAGTTAGGTTATAAATCACACAGCTTAATCACACCTGAGAAAATGAGATGTAATTAACTTTATCCTTCAGAAGTTCAAATTTGGGAAATATTTATTGTGATCATCAACTTGGAATTATTAAACCGATTGAATGTATATATTGTATATAATTCATATTCTATGTAATTAGAGATATGTACTTCTTCAACTTTTTCTTCCAAGTGAAAATTTTTCAATTTATTTATTTTTTTTTTTAATTATCAGCACATGAATTCCTATAAAGAATGAGATTGGAGGTTATCTTGTACATTTTACTAGCCTTATACTTCTATTCTGTTGATAAAGGAAAAGGATATACTGCAATAACTTGTAAAATGTGGGGGGTAATGTGACATTAGAAACCTTGGATGGGGCAACAAATGTATAAATCCAGGTGCCTAACACATTATAAGGAACAGGTGTCCCAAACTATCATATTTCAATGCTTTTTCACAAAGTATTTGGACTTGAAAATTACGGAATAAGGACATAAAAAATACATGAAACCAATCCTTATTCTGTGAATTAAATTAAGTTTCTATTGAAATTCTAAGACAAAATTTCCAGGTTAAGACCTGAGAGTGCAATACCTTTTTCCCACAGTCGTTTGGTATTGGTGGCAAATTTGACATCAGACGATACAGATTGCACGCCATGTTTGTGGCTTCTTTTGGTATTCTTTATTTTGATAGGTTACATATGGCTTATGTCAACTAGATAACATTAACATTAAGAATTTACCGTATTTTTTCTTGTAATAGACCGAGAAGGTCTAGCTTGATCTTACGTAACATGTATTTATTTGTAATAAGTTCATGGAGATGACCTTTGTTACATATAAAAGTGTCCCTGTCTGAGGCTACATCAGACGTCGCCAGAGACGGAAAACTTTCATCATCATCAGGCTACATCAAATATAGTTGATTTACAGGAATCAGGCCTTATCTGTCTAATTAGAAAGAATCTGTCTGGGTTGTTTCAATTGGGGCTTATACTCTTTTTATTTTCATTTCACTAATTTTATAAGAAATTGGCCTTTTGTCTCCATGTGTAAATTTTTATGTTTAAGTAGAATACTTTGTTACAGATTGCATTGTAAGTTAGATATTAGTTTTGATACAGGGTTTTATCTGTGATGAATTACGGTAAACATACACATTACATCGGTCATCTATATAAATGGCCCACATGGCTCTATACATGATAGCCAATGAGTCAACTAAGGAATCATTTTTCAAATCAAGAAACACCCTTTTTATTGTCACAATATTTTTGCTTGCATTTGATGGGAAATCAGCTCCTGACATTCATGAGGGGGATAAAAAGAATTGATTAAAATTTAGTTTTAGAATATTTTTGACATTCGATAGAAATTACACACTTGCTAGCTATAAACTGACCTAGATATTTTCTCAACATCCTTGTTGATGTGGAAACAGAGTAGGATTAGTTACAAACATTGAAATTGATTGTCCAGTTGGTATAATAATAATTGTATTGCTGAGGTAGTGCGAATCCTCAGATCAGTTTGTTAAAGGGGAACTGAAACATTTCTTTTATAATAACAGTCCGTTTGAAATATTTTATAAGTTTAATGTTTGTCTTCAGTAAAAATGTGTAAACCACTCCAGATATTGGAGCGGATTCAAATGTAGGACAAGAGAGACTTAAAAAAAAAATGTCACCACCACAATCGTCTTAAAGATAGATTTTACAACGTGTTTGATTGGGAGAAAGCTAAAGCACTCCTCAAAGAATGCTGAAGGGGTTTTCTGTAGGAATTTTAATCCAGCCCGCCTAGATAGGGCAGCTCTACACACGAAGTAACTTTGGTTTTACTTGTCAAATTGAGTTTAACGATGTCAGCTGTAAATTTTATCTTCTGAGAATGTGCAGTAAAAGTTTACAAGGTTGTAAGACTGATTTCTCAAAAGGAAATGCGTTATTACGATATTCAGTATTTCAAATTTGAAAAATATGTTATTGTATTAAATAGCTTTTTTTCATTTAAAAAGATAATTTCTGTAGGCCTTTTACAAAATTTGCTATCTTTGGTTACATGTGTATGAACTTCAACTTTTACAAAAGATCATTAATAATATGCTTTTGAAAGTTTTTCTTTCTGATATTTATGTCAGAAGAGTTTACACCTAATTACATGAAACTGCTGAGGCCTTATAATGCTCAGGGTACTTCTGTACTGAGAAATACCAATGAATGTATACTAAAAAACTCTATAAGTTTGTTCAGAATGTTTGCAAACCTATGAAATATATTTTACTGATGAAAGAATTTTTGTACTCTAGGTCCAATTTTTGCCCCTGCGGGATATTGACAAAGCATTCTCAATGTGTTTACTATGAGCTGCTAGGTAAATAAACTTAGCTAATCTATGAATTTTAATTGTGCCACAATTCAGGCCCTGTGTATTTCAAATTCTTTATTGTAGCAGTATATTATCAGGAAGAAAAACATGTTTATATGTTTGAACTGAAATATGTCCTTTATACCTGTTTAATAAGATGATATTGTTTGTATACTAAAAGTCCAAGTTGGTGATAAATGAAGTTTAAATTCTTGTATCCTCGTAAAGGAACACTCCATGAATTGGTAGACATACTTTATGTTGGACAGGAATGTGTTATTTACATTTATGAATGAGATATTACAATATAATGGTTTGAATGCAGTAGATCTTCACTTTTGTGCAAGACTACTTAAATTTGATAATGGTTTCAATCATTGTCAATTCTTTATTGTACTAACATCATGCTTTCCTCAGCTGTGTAAATTTTGATTTTATTTCCCTTTTATAAACAATTTCCATGCAGATATTTCATTGTACCAGTGTGAGTAGAGGTCTTGTGTACTTACTAACAGCATGGAGGTAAATTGTTTTTTTTATCGTTAGTACAGATATATTATGTTCTAATTCCCGTTTCTCTACCTAACTATTTTGGAACATCTCATACTCTATTTCTGTCGCTGCTAGTCCCCACACTGGTAAGTTGTCTGATGAAGATGAATGTCACACTCTAATCTTCTAGTTGTTGTGGTGTCATAAGAACTATCTACCTATCTACTCTTCCACAAGATAATATTGCCCAGGTAAACCAATATTCTGCGTATTTACCATGTAATAAGCCCACTGGTATGGAAATGTTTCTTTAAGATCTTCACTCTACTAATGTCATTGTTTGTCTTAATATTTTTTTCCACCCATAAATGTTTCTGGAGTTTGTCAAATACTGATTCAAACATGAATGTCAGACCCTGTGGATGATAGAGCAACATCCAAATCTGTTCTGATGTGTCATGGGAACCATACACTAACATAATTCTCCCTAAAAACGCTCTATCACTGCCACCGACTGACAAGCTGAAGTTGAATAAATGCTGATGAATTAAGCGACAACATTACATCCCAAATACCTGTAAACCAAACTGCTTATAAGGACATATACAGTATTAACAAAAGAGTTTTTAGAAAACTGTGTCAAGGATTTGTATACAATGGAAAACTAAGAGAAACATCTAATTTTTACCTGTGGAGAAGTACTGTCCTTTCTCACCCCTCGGTCAGGTTCACATTCGGTTTTGAATGCCAAAATGATGAAAGAAACATTTAAAAGTAAAAACCGTTCTCAACTAAAGAGAATGTTGAAGCAATACAATTAGGCTTAACCATGATTATAATGGCTTTTAATTTAATTCAAAATAAATCAAAAATGTTGAAAAAGTACATTATAGGAAATAGCTTCTGACTAATACACATTTTAAATCAAATTTAATAGTCTTTGGAAATCAGTTTTTATTTGAAAACTTTTTGTTTTAACTTTGTTAGTGGTATGGTTAGAAGTAATACATAGGGAAAATGTTCATTAAAACCAAACATAAAACATACAAGGAATTCATTAAGTAAAATTTGCCTCTTTCTAATTATATATATTTTTTTTATATTTTTCAGAAATTACAGCCTGGGAAAGGTGATGCAGGTAAATAATGTGTTTTCATTTTTTATACTTTATAAATCAATCAAAAGTATAATTACTTCTAATATTACATATCATATTAGCAATACAACAACATTGCTGCAGATGAATATTGCGTTGTCTTTGCATGACTTGCTTTCCATTATTCTGAATAATTCTATAAATAACATTAACTGCTAGCAATATGGATACAAATGATTTAACAGGCTGCTGTTCCCAACTGCCAGATGCAGGTAAGTAATTCATGGTTTTCAAAAGAGATGAGATGATGCAGACTGCCATATAAGGGGTACAGATGATGCTGGATTCTATTTATATATAATACAGGTGGCTGAATTTAATTGCAATATGAGGAATGTGGATGATGCTAATTTGAATTGCCATATAAGGAATATGGATGATGCTGACTACGGGATAGTGAAATTTTAGATACTTACACATCCAAATGGATTTTATACAGAGTTGTTGACCTTTTTCTATGATGCATAAATTTTCCATAAGGTATTTTTATCTCAAATACCCACTTAACTATAAATGCAAATCCGTTTAGAGCTGGTCAATTGCAGTGTTGTATCTACTTATGTCTTGTATTCCACTATATACACGGTTATAACAAGACAGAAAATAGGATGTATTATTATTTTGAAGAGAAAATGTATAATCTATTTTATTACCAGACTTGGAAACACTGATCTTTAGAGTTTTTATATTAAATGGAAAAAGAAGCTTTTATAAATGTGTTCGTGTTTGATGAGTAAACATTTCAGGTTTTGCTACCTTTTTCAATATATCATCTGATCTGGACTGAATCATAACAAGCCTTATCATTTTTGCAGCTTCTTGACACAACCTTTTTCATTGAAACTATATAGAAATCTCACTTTTACCTGTGAGACTTAGAAACTTCAGTAAGATAGGCCCTGTGTATTTGAAGTAGAAAATTTAAACACCATCTATATTTGATTAGAAATTTCTAAACACAGAGTTGATGTGGTTGTTTACAAACACTAAACCTTGGCCGAGAAATTACAGGCCAATCTCCTGGCATGATTCATGGTTAGGCAAATAAAGTGTAACCCAACATCTGATAAAGGTCAATATGGATTGTCCTACTACACACATGTGCCACACCTCTGGTCAGTTTTGGCCATTTGAAAGTTTATTTTAACACAGTAACATTGCTCAGTATCTATACGAGCATACATTTCATGAGTTTGGGATTAAAACATATTTATTGAAGTATCAAACTTGTCAGAAAAAAACTCCTTTTGGTCCACTGGCCTAGGAATGACATTATCTGTGAGGATGTATGCTAGAGAAAATAGGTTAATACCCTACCTTTACAAAGGAAATCTACACAGACTACATTACATGCGAGAGCTATCTCCCTTTTCACCAGCTGGACCTCAACTTAACCGTTGCACTGAAACAGCTAGATTACTAAGTGCATCACAGAATTGGGAATTTTTTTTATTATCTATCATTTATAGAAGTGTCGTAATGACATATGCATTTTGAAATTATTTGAAATTTTCCAAAAGGAAATTATTTGCTTTTTTTTCTTTTACATCTGACTCATTTCTAAAGCTGGTCATGTAGACTAAATATACTACTTAACACAAAATACATGTTTGCAACAAAAGTTTCTACCATTGAAATAAAATTGAATTCTTTTTATATGAATAGAAAAGAGGAAATACATTTTTAAGGCCAAAATGTACATCAAAAAGCTGATATTTTTCTATTAATATCACCAATGTTAATGTTTTGTCGATGTCATTTTGCTATGGACATAAGTATATGTACAACAGATAGTAGTCCACCCAGTGTTTCCGTATTAACAGGAAGTTAGGATCATTCTTTCATTCTTATCCCTAGTTGTGTATCAAACACATCAAGTTTTTATCAGTCTATTTTAAGGTCTCAGTACATATTATGCATCAAACACAACATAGTTTTTTTTACACCCCCCCCCCCTTATATTAGAATAGAAGAACCTCATGATCAAATCATTGATAAACTATTTTGTCATTATCGTCCTTATGATATTTGACAGAACACTAACGAGGAACATTTGATTTAAATCAGATGTAGGAGATGTTAAGATGTACTGGTAATGACTGTAAAACACCTGTTTGTGATTATTGTTCACTGTTTTAGAGTGATTTATAAAATTACAAAAACAAACACCCACTTGCTGCTTGTTGAATGTCTGGTTTCTTCACTGTAAATTATTTATTCTGCCAAGGTAAGACAGATGTGTGTGCACAAGATTTTATGAACAGAAATATAGAATAAAGATATTGAATTGCACCTGTAATTCTGAAGTATACGATACAGGTGTCTATCTAGTTGAGATCAGTAGTAGGATTGCAGGCTGACCTTACAGGGCCCCAGCAATACCCAAACTGATAGTTTATCAAGATGACTGTAGTCTTAGATATATCTATATACCTACGTGGTATGAGGCATGTACTACAGACACCTAGATACATTTTTTATTATCCCAACATAAGTAGGTCTTTCATCGGGTCATGTAACCATCTTTGATATCGGAAGTTGGCTAATTGTAAATAAAGAATGGATGCCAACAACGATCCAGAAACCTTGAAATCATTAGCCAGCAAACATTTTTACCAAATTTTAATGTTCAGCTTGTTCATTAGTAGTCTGTTTTATGTTACAGAAATCACGATTTAGTAAGTAATTTCTGTAATCAGAAATTGGTTTTACTTGGTTACAGTAACCGAATTCATGATGAGGTAATTTGGCAACATTTCAGCAATATTACGTATGACTTGAATCAAAACACATGTCTGTACACACGCAGGATTAGAAGTTCAACTCTGGTGTATTATTGGGAATATTGTTTGAACTTAATTATGTTTTCATGAAAATAAATCATCACTCCCTTTGAATGCAAAGGAAACTTAAATATTGCTCAATATACAAGCTCTGTGTATTTATATACGGATATCATACACAGTGTATGACAGATATACATCTTAATTAAAAGGAAATAACTTGTTACAGGCAGCTTAAATGTATTTACCATCTCTCCAATGTCTTATTAGAATCACAGATATTAGAAGAGATGTTTGTTGGAAGCCTGAACGGTGTGCGTGTTTAGTGTTGGTTTGAAGTTTCCTTACCTATTGTTGGTTTGGACTTTCCTATATCCAAGCATTTGGTCTGGATTTCTCTTAACTAATTGTGTTCATCTGGAGTTCCTTATTAACTGGAGTTATTCCCTATCCAAGTGCTGATCTGGAATTATTCCCTGTTTATATTCTGGTCTGGAGTGTTGGTGTGGAGTTCCTGGTTACTGTGTTGGTCTGGAGTTCCCTGACTCTGCTGGTCTGGAGTTTCCCTACCAAGTGCTGATCTAGAAATCCTTGTGTTAGAATCATGATATATTTATTGTTTTGAGTCTACATGGCCTCGCTATTCAGAACCAAATTTTATTGTCGTGATGTTCAGGGATTCTTATTAAAACCATCATAAAATTTACGCTATGGTAACATACTTCCTCACATTGAATTGGTGTTTCTTGTGAAGTTCCTGACAGTATTAGTGAAAAGTGAGGCAAGGTAGTACGGCAGAACATTTGTGTATCATAATTATGAAAACCATCATTTGTGTATTGGGATTTGGAACATATACATTTTCTCAGGAAGATTCTCACCGAATCAAAAACCAGATATATTAGGAACCTTTGATGTATATGGGTTCATACGCAGGTAAATTCTTGGGTGTGTCTATACGAGAGAAGCACTGGCCATGACGGGGATAGTGTTGGTAGATTTTCATATGTCTTGGAGTACAAGTATCATAGAGAAATGTTTATAAAGTGATATGGAGTGGTGATAGTCTGTATGAGTGTAGAACCCCAGTTCTGACCAAGATAGGATCAGTGTTTAACACAGATACTACTATACTTTAAACATAACCAACACAATTTGAGTTTACTTTTCCTGTAAAGCTTGGGGCAAGATAAGTGCATTTTCGACAAGTGTGCAATTGAATGGAAGATTGGTTAATGGTTGGCCTCCTCCCAATGTACAGATGACTTGGATATATAATGAGACATTCATAAGGTACAGGTCACAATTTACACTGCTCTGGATTGACCTACCATGTCTGGCTGTAAAATTCTCCACAAGTGTTAGTTCAGTCCACAGAAATAGGGACAAGCATTTGGCTGAATCCCAACCTCAAGGAGTCATAAAACTTTGGACAGATGTAGATTTTATAGAACTTACAGTAAAGGTCAATTGACCTAAGTCTCTAAACTGTCTATTTATAGTTCTGCTTCTATTGAAGCATTTCATTGATATCTTGGAAGTTTGGAAAGCACCTGCAATTATTTCATCTGCTTCAAATAGACTGTTCTTAGTTGGTGTGTTACCTTTTTTGGCACCAGGAGAAGCTTTCAATAGCTGTTTGTTTATGAAGTGGATTGGTGTTGAACTACTAGACACAATATTTCGTTTTATGACAAACTTTTAGCAGATGTTCTTTGGTCAACTATCAAAGTGTCCTTTTTTTTAATCATTAGTTACGTATTGATATCACCAATGAAACAGTGATCGTAGAAGCCAAGGAATATTTCTAGTTAAATTTCATAGTTAACCATCCAACAATTTCAGACAGGTGTTTGTTTGTAGCAACTCAGTATCTGGATAAGTTATCATTAAGACAGGCCTCATAAGGCTTGACCTGAACTATTGTTTAGGCTCAGCAGAGATCAGACTATCTTCCTACTTCATTCACCTGATAGAGCAAACCAAGCATGAGATGGGTATGGCTTGCTCCTAGTGTCAGGCTTGTGGTCATTAGTGAGTAGGCACGCTCAATGGCCACGACCATAAACACCAGCTACTCTTTCAATCATGCAATAATTGGAACACAGTCTGGATCCTTACTAGCGATCAAGAACAAAAAAAGTTTGTTTTTATTTTCTGATCGGAGGATATTTTAACAGTTTGTTATGTGTGTGGCAT